GCTCAGTGCTTCAGCTATAAACCTGAGGTTTTTCACATTGAATCGCTACAGGGTGTTACCTGAAACTGTGCAAAATTACCGAATTTTCGAAAGGGTCTCAAATGAAGAGAAAAATGTTTTTTCTAACTTTGAAAGCAAAGGCATGAAGATGACCTCATTATCTTGCTACAGTTTTGGAATTGTCATCTTATTCCTTCTATTCACAGAGTGATCTCCAAAAACACAACTTTTCTGTTTTGCAGTCATAACTTTTTTCCTCGTTAACCGATTTTCCGAATCTCAGGCTCATTTCGAACCTGAAACTTATGATGAAGAGGTATGTACAGGGTGGCCCATTATTGTGAGAAAGTGAGATAACGGCTTCGCTGTTTGAGACAAATAAACAAAAATTTCTGAGATGGTTCAAGCTCATGAGCAGCACATTCCTATAATATTTTGCGTTGAACAGGGTGACTCAAAAATACGTGAAGTATAAAAGCTACCTATACTTCTTCTTATAGAACACCATGTATTGTATTGTATTTTCAGATTCTCCATGAGCTGATTTCATCGATCTATCACACTTTAGGTTTGGGGGATGTTATGACAGATTTTGGGGGTGTGAAAAATCTAGATTTTTCAACATTCGGATTTTTTTTTTGTCAAAAGTACCCATTATTGGTCAAAACGGCATCAATTTCCCCATTTCAACTTTCGATTTACTATCTACTGTCATTTAATTTTGATGGATACAGAGTGATTCATGATTATACTGAATTATTAACCACCCTGTATTCGTTCAAGCCGTTCCGATCAATAATGAGTACTCTTGACACAAGGAATCTCGAAAGATGAAAAATCTCGATTTTTTACACTCCTTATCTCTGTCATCACTTCTTAGAACCAAAAGTATCGAAAATTGAAAAATCTAAATTTTTCACACCCTATATCTCTGTCATAACTTTCCTTCAACCTAAAGTGTGATAGATCGATGACATCAGCTCATAAGCAAGAATCTGAAAATACAATACAATACAGGATATTCCATAAGAAGAAATATAGGTAACTTTGATACGTCACGCATTTTTGAGCCACCCTGTATAACGCAAAATATTTTAGAAATGTGCTGCTCGCATGTGCTTAGACCATATCTCAGAAAACTTTGTTCATCTGTCTTAAACAGCGGAGTCATTATCTCACTTCCTCGCACTAATCGGCCACCGAGTGGGTCACCCTGTACATATCTCTTCATCTGAAGTTTCAGATCCAAAATGAGCCTGAGATTTGGAAAATTGGTCGACGAGGAAAAAAGTTATGACTGCAAAACCGAAAAGTTATTTTTTTGAAATCACTCTGTAAATGAATTGAATGAGAAGACGATTCAAGAACTGTCCCAAGATAATGAGGTCATCTTCATGATTCTGCTGTCAAAGTTGTAAAAAAAAAATTTTTCTTCATTTGGGACCATTTTGAAAATTCCGAAATTTTGCACAGAATCAGGTAACACCCTGTAGCGATTTTATGTGAAGAACCTTATGTTCTGAAGAAGTACGAGATTATAGCTGAAGGACTGAGCTATAGCGAACAGTGTGATCCGAATTAGAATTGTTCAACGCAGAAAAAAGTTATTGATATTTTAATATGAGCAACATTTTGGGGTGCGACGAAATTAGTGTTGCGTAGTTTATTTCAGAAGTGCAAATCATGTCAATTTATACGTACCATCAAATATTCAAAAAATAATTATGTTTCTTCAGTTCGGGCCCAGCAATGAAACGAAACGAATAATTACGAGAGATCGCCTGTACAATAATTTCAGAACAAAAATTCTATGAAGTTATATTCACAATACGAATAATGTCAATAGATTTCCATATTACTTCCATCGAAATTCATCCACACAAAAGAGTTGAAATTTTCCGAATGAAGAATGCAGATACTATTCGAGATATAATAAGAATAAAATACTATACACTGTCCTCATAACTTTACTGTGTCCTCTCAACCTCACACAAAAACTATTGAAAATAGCGGGAAATAGCGTCCTCGTAAAGAGAGTCCTCGCAATACATTGTAAGTATGGAGTCCTCGCAACAGGCAAAACTGCAAAGTGTGAAGTGAAAATAAGAGAATTCATTGAGTGTATTATCAAATTTAGATACCATATACATGATAATCGTCCACCACGCATATTTCATGTGCTTAAAATGATTCCTTCACAGGGTCCTCGCTACAGGGTATTTGGTTCGAAGTCCTCATAAACCCCCCCTTCTACGTATATGTGTGTGTGTGTGTGTGTGTGTGTGTGTGTGTGTAGGTGTGTGTGTGTGTGTGTGTGTGTGTAGCAATAATAGTAAGTACCTCTTTTTTATCAAAGTGCGTATTTATATTCTCAATCCTATATCATCAAACTTTTTTATTCCATTTTGAGTTTCTTAGTTTTATATTATCGGCCCCTCTCATTTTATTTTGAAAATGATACAACCTAGTGCTCATTCCGCATCAACCTTTTTCATTCAAAGTTTTTTCGAGAGACAATTCAATGAAAGTGTCAATGATCAATCACAGATTGATTTTATTTCTAGTTTTATCGAAAATAATCCATCCTAGTATCAAGCTCATCATGACTTTGTTGGACTGCTGATGTTTTTTGTCCTTTTTCTTTCCACCAGATGGATCTTACTCAAATCAACGCAGCTTCTCTGATTGCTCCAAAACAACAGAAACCAAGCGTGAAGTTGTTGGATCTCCTGCTAGGTCAACCCCAACCAATCAAGACAGCGAAAGTGGTCACCACAAAATTTGGTAAATCTGTTCTGATTGAGTTGGAGGACTCTGTTGTGTTCCTGCCCAGTCGTGTAACTGAGACCTATTCCCCCCACATTGGATATTTCGGTACCGGAAAATATTCCTTGGTCTTCAGAGGAAAGGTGCAGACTGGAAAGGCCAGGAGAATTAAAGTAAGCTACATTTTTTTATTTGGGTAAAATATCATCAATATAACAATGGAGAGCATCAATAAAACCTTGACCCAAGTTGACGAAACTCTTTTATCAATTAAGAAAATTTATTCTAAACCATTGGCACTTTTTGTATCGAAATCAATTCGTTCACACATACGGAAATGTATTTTAGCATTGAAAAGAAATACTTTTTCGATTGGTTTGAAGCGTAAAATTCAGACTAAGATCGGGGAACTGAAACGGATGAGATTCTTTATCAAAACTATGAATAGAGGACATGTTGGCTCCGGCCTGAAGCCCTATATTCGTTGGATTGATGTGAATTCAATCTCCGCGTCGAGTGTGCAGACCGGTCTTATTCTGAATTTGAGACATAAGGAGATTATCGACTTTTTGGAGGATTCATTTAGATTGGTAAATAAGAGAATTTCAAAAATTTTGGGACGCTTTTCAATGCTTAAAGTCAACTTTACATTTTCCGGTGACTTCATTAAGCAGTCAAATAATGGGGAATTAGTTGGCCGCAAAAATTTTTTTACTCCCAATGCCATCGTAGACGCAGGAACGGACCTAGCCGATTGTTTCAAAATCAATGCGCTAGATGTGATACTTAATGAACTTGGCGAATTTGCCGAGAAGAATAGCGGGTGGGCCTTGAGCGAAATTATCTCTCTGGAGGTTGCCATAAATAAATATGAAATGGGCAATGGCTCATCGTTTATCAAATTACCAGAGCAGATTGAGAGAAAGCATGCCTGCATTAACGTTCAAAATGATAATGAGGCATGCTTCTATTGGAGCATAGTCAGTTGTTTGCATCCTGCTGACGCACATTCAAATAGAGTTAAGAATTATCCTCACTATTCACAGATTTTGAACATTAAAGGATTAGACATACCAATGAAGCTGCCCCAAATCACAAAATTTGAAGAAATGAATGCTATTTCGGTGAATGTTCATGCGTTAGAGTTGACAGAAGTCAACGAACGAACATTTTACTCTGTAGTACCCACCAGACTTACTAAGCATAAATCCAATCGACATGTTAATTTGCTTTTAATTCAGGACAAATATTTCCCAAAATTGAATGACTATGAAGCTCCTCCTGACAACGATAATGCTGAAGAGAACGTCAATATAGAATATCACTATGTCTGGATTAAGGACCTTTCACGACTAGTATCAAGTCAACTCAACAAATATAAGGGTAAGAAATTCATCTGCGATCGATGCCTCAACTATTACCATTGTCAGGAGAAATTCCATTCCCCAAGTATGATTTTGTAGAATTTAAGAACCATGTGTATAAGCAGACATGTCCTTTCATCATTTATGCTGATTTCGAATCGCAGTTGGAGAAATGTAATTCCAAAATTTCAAAAACCACTTCAAAGTATCATAACATCATAAAGCATACAGTTCTGGGTACTATTTCAAATGTTCTTTCGATGACTCGCTGTCATTTTATCGTAGTCATAGGGGTGGAGATTGCATGGACTGGTTTGCCTGCGAAATGTCTAAAATTGCCAAATTTGTCGATTCCAAATTGAAAAATATCGTTCCAATGGTAGTCAAACCAGCTAGTACCAGTGGCGCAACCATCTGCCACATTAGCGAAGAGAAATTCAAGGCAAAAGACGTTATCGTACGTGACCACGACAATTTTACTGGCGCATTCAGAGGCTTCGCACACCAGGCTCCCTGTAATCTCAACTTTAGGAAACTGTTCGTTGTTCCCATTACGTTCCACAACCTCTCAGGATATGATTCGCATTTTATAATCAGAGACATTTCCAAGCGGGGACGTGTGAGCGTACTCCCGGTTGATCGCGAAAAATACATTTCCTTTACACAACATGATGATGAAACAAGCATAAAATTCCGATTCATCGACTCTTTCCGCTTTTTGGGAACCAGTCTCGATGCTTTAGTGTCAACGCTAAAAGTTAATGATTTGAAAATTCTAAAGAAAGAATTCAGCGACGTGAATGAGACGAAATTTGCATTGTTGACACGAAAAGGAGTATTCCCATATGACTATGTTGATAATGTGGAAAGATTGGATGAATCCGAGTTGCCAAGTATTCAAAATTTCTATAACAAATTGAACGATACAAATATTTCGGACGACGATTACGCGCACGCGCGAAAAGTTTGGAAATCTTTGGAGCTGAAATCGCTGGGAGAATATAGCGACCTATATATGCGGACCGATATTCTTCTTCTTGCTGACGTCATGGAAAATTTCAGCGCGTCATCCCTCAAGACCTATGGCCTCGATCCTGCTTGGTATTACACCATGCCCGGCTATACTTGGGACTGCATGCTCGAGTATACTGGGTGCAAGCTGCAAATCATCAAAGATATCGACATGGTGATGTTTGTGGAGCAGGCGATAAGAGGAGGAGTATCGGTTTGCTGCAATAGGTATAGCGAAGCAAATAATAAGTACCAGAAAAATTACGATCCAAAAAAGCCGTCAAAGTACCTTCTTTTTCTCGATGTCAATAACCTTTATGGAAAAGCAATGAGTGAACCCCTCCCTTATGGGGGCTTTACATGGGTAGAAAATGTTGACATTGATGTAACCCAAATTCCTGACAACAGTCCAGAAGGCTATATTCTCCAAGTTGATTTGGAGTATCCTGAGGGGTTGCATGACCTACACAAGGACCTACCATTTCGTCCCGAACACCGCACACCACCAAATTCAAAATTATCCAAATTAATGACCACGCTGTACGATAAAAAGTCATATACTTTACATTACAGAAATTTGAAGCAGGCATTAGAACACGGTCTGAAATTGACCAAGATTCATAAAGTATTAAAGTTCAAACAATCCACATGGCTAAAGCCCTACATCGAGTTGAATACCCGATTGAGGACTCTAGCCACAAACGATTTTGAAAAAGATTTAAGGAAATTGGCCAATAATGCGGTGTTTGGGAAGACGATGGAGAATATTCGTAATCATAGAACAGTAAAGTTAGTCAGAATGTATGAAGGCCGCTATGGCATTAAAAATTCAATTTCAAGTCCTCGGTTTCAACAACGAACAGTTTTCGATACCAATTTGGTGGCAGTGGAGTTGAAAAAAGCAGAGCTGATTTTCAATAAACCTCTCTACATTGGCATGTGTATCCTTGACTTGTCAAAAATCGTCATGTATGATTTCCACTACAATTTCATGTTACCAAAGCTTGGAGCTGACGTAAAACTCATGTATACCGATACGGACAGCTTCATCTACGAAATTGTATGTGACGATGCGTATAGTGAGGTGATTGATGCAAATATCGAGAGATTTGACACGTCTGACTATGCTCCAGACAATATTTATGGTATACCTCGAGTAAATAAAAAAGTCTTGGGCCTATTAAAGAATGAGGCAAACGGTAAGATTATTACGCATTTTGCTGGACTACGATCCAAGATGTACAGTTATAAATTGGATATAACGGATGAGGATATTGAAAAAGAGAGGAAGCGATTGGAAAGAAAGGGATTCAGTTAAGAACGACTAGATAGGGAATGGGAAAATTTCGGTATAACTAAAAAATCCAAGGGTGTCAAGAAATGTGTTGTCAAAAATAAGTTGACTTTTGATGACTATGTGAATTGTCTGACGGCTTGGAAAGAAAAGACCGTAGCCCAGCAAACGATTCGTTCCTACGCTCACGATGTTTTTTCCATCGAACAAACAAAAATTGGTCTAAGTCCCAAAGATGATAAGCGGAAACTGATTCACGATTCGTTTGACACACTTCCGTGGGGTCACTACAGTTTGACGGATTGTTTTTCTCCTCAGTATTTTTGCACCAAAATTTTTAAACCAACGCTGTGTTGTATTGATGACTTATTTTCCCATGAAAAAAATGTTACTTCTTTTATTCATCCAATAATTTACCAAATGTTGTATATATGTTTATTTTCAATTATTTTAGTATTATCTAATTATTCCTAATATTCATATTTTATTGTATAAACTTTTTTTTGATTTTTATTATTCCTTTTTACATTTATACTATTATACACTTTCACAATTATTAGACTTTTCTGTGTATTCTTTTCCCACACCCTTGTCTGGATGATGTGTACGAGAAAGAGAGAGAGAGAGACGAAAAAAGAAAAGAAGAGAGAAAGAGAGAGAGGGAGAGAGGGAGAGAGAGAGGGAAAGAGATGTAATAAGAAGTGGGTTGAAAGTATGGATGTAAAAAAACAGTTGTATCATGTCTTCTGACGAATACAGACGTGCACTAGAAGAATTTGGGTTGAAAGTTAGAAAGCTCAGTGCAGACATCCAATTGTATGAGCAGAAAGTTTGTTTGTTCAAAGATTTCGAGCAATTGAGTATTTGGGATAAGGTGTTCACAGAACCAAGACGTTCAGTTGCAACGTTTCCTACATCGAGAAGAATCCAACCAACACAGCTACTAGATGGCGATACTGAAAGCAAGCTCCATTCTATTGACAGCTCTGAGCAACAACGTCTTTTACACAAACATACCGTACAATACGAGGAATGCAGCCGTATGTTTTGATGTGAATCGTACACAACAGTGTGATTGGAAGCTGATGCGTAGAATGTATGTCAATGATAACAAACTACCTGTATATTCAATCGACATGCCTCGAGTCAATGGGACCACCATCGACTACAAATTGAAATTATCGTTTTCTGATGGTAGTGACGGCGAAACTGGGGACTGGCAGACATTTACATTGAAGAAATCACCCGCAAAATTAGATGTTGATCGAGATTCTGTCAATATCATTGCAATTTTGACACTTTGTTGTACACTAATATGTTCACTCATTTTAACTCACATGTTATTTTCATTATACTGAGAAATGAGGGATGTGATGAATAAAAACTCTGAAATTATTATAAAGTTTTTTATTTTGGCAATAAATTACATAACCAATTATATAAAGTATCGACATTGTGGAGACTGCACTGGAACCTTCCTCCATGGAAATGATTCATGCAGGGTGGAATGGATTGTAGGAGCGTTATTGGCTGCCACCAAGAATTGTCAAAATCTTCCAAATTAACAATGTGATTGGTCATCTCCAACTCTGCACATTTTCGCTGCAAAAACTGAATCTTTTGATGGCCTCTTACGTAGATGATGTTTGTCTGCTGCAGGTTATCTCGTAGTATTTGATCCAACCCATTCAAATCCACATAACCACTGGAATATTTCAAACCATGAACGTAACGCTCCACAAGATTTGCCATCTTTTTATCTTCTCTGCTTAAACTCGAAAATTCTACAGATGGCTTGAATAGAAAATGACTCGTCTTTTTGCCAATGCGAATGGTCATTTCCTTTGGAATGAATTCACCATCAACCATGAACCCTTGAATATCAACCAGTGCGATCTCCATGACTCTTCGAAGCAAACTGACGTCTGACTGATGCAGCAACACCTAACTAGGCAATATTTCGAACGATTTCGCTGAGTGGGAGATGTTCCATGATTTGATCGTGAATGATGATGCAATAGGCTTTGGTGTCGGGAGGGAAGCCTGTAGTCGCTTCAATGTCCAACTTTATGTCAACTGTAGACGACTTTATGCCTAGATGGCGCCTCGAGCAAACGATAACAAACATTGGTCGGGATTTGAATTCGGCAAAGTTTACTAGAGAGCGCTTTTCTTGACAGTTATGGTAGCTCTTGTTGAACTCTGTATAGTTGAAGTGGGCGTCGGCATATTGGTCTTTGGAAAAGTCCAATAGCATTCGTTCTTGCGGATAATAGTCGCTATTCAGAGCCAATCGTATGGATTTGATGTTGGCATTATCGAACACGGTGACGTCTTCATGCAAATTATCGGCTTTTTTCGTTTGGAAAAATACTATAACATATCTTGGACTGTCCAATGCAGAACATGTCTTGACGGACCAGATTTCTATGGTAGATCCTTGTGTGAGTGCTGGTAGCTCGTGCAATTCCCATCGGCGAAACGGTATCATCATAGGCTCATCTGCTTTGATACGTGTCAACAACTGCAACTTTATGTCATCGTTGGGTGTGAGATGTGGCACTTTCAAATTGATGCTTTCTATCGTTATTTTAGCAATACTCTGAGTCTGAAGAGATCCTTGCAAAGCAGTATTCGCTCTCTCGACAACCTTCACACTATTGGCATCATTGCGAGCTCTCACTAAACGGATTGACTGCTTGCCGCACGTTGCCACTTGATGATCATTGAAGATGGAAAACAAATGTTTCAGTGGAATGTTCATGCTAAACGTACCATCGGTGTTGAGGATCGGAGCATTGGGATAGTTCCAGCCCGCTATGGCTAGATGACGTGAATCTTCAGGTGTATAACACAAGTATCCTTGCACAGTACTCGTTATTCCAGGATATCTGACAGTGTCCAATTCTTTATTAAATAATTCATAGGTGCAGGAATCAAAGAGATAAGCTCCAGCATTGTGGGTTGATGTACCAGTACCACCACCGGTCACCTTCAATTTACCCTTGATGGTAATGATGCCTTCAAACATGGCCAACCACGAATCTGCTTGATTAACCGTTATATCGATGACATCATTGTTCTCGAATGATTTCACATATGGATAATAGGTACGCCATTCCACTTTAGTGATGCTTTCGTCGAGTCTGGGTTTGCGGAAAACGTCGAACACGGGTGCTAACAACATTGTAGTCTTTGAGTGATTTCAGAAACAGGACACTGGAGAATGGCAATGTTTTTCTGTTGCTGCTGCTGCTGCTCTTCGAAGACACGACTGCTTTGGTGTACGGTGTCGAGAGAACTGGTGCCGATGATGTTGCTGATGATGGTATATTATCTGATTTATAGGAGTAATCAAACACTAGTACCATCTTGCGAGTTTCTTCAATTCCAATCTTATAATGATTTCTTCACCTCTGAAATTCACCTCTCTGAAATATTGGTCTAGAATCTGGAGTGTAATGTTGAGCAATGCCCGCCTGCTGACCATAGGTAGATAGATTAGATTTCTGGGAGTCTCGTCTATGGCGTAAAAAAGTGTGGACTTGTTGTGCGTTCAATAATCTATTTGAAAATCCCAAGACTTGAGCTATGCTATCCTTTGGACGAAAATCAATGGCAAACTGTTTGCTCGAGATTTCGCACTTCAACGTATTATTGTTGGGTTTCAACGAAAATATCTCATCAACGTCCTTTGCACTCGATATACCCAATTCTTTTCGAATAAATGTTTCAATGTCCACAATGTCGTATGAACCTTCGGGAATATCGATGATCTTTTCCGCCTTGCTCTCATCTTGCAGGTAAAACTTTGATCCTTTGTCGATATTTGGTATACTGTTGTATGAATGGAATCCCAACAATGCTAGTCCGTAATCAGAGTCTGGATCGAGTTGAAGTGGTGTCAAAAAGTCTATGGAGAGCGTAGATGTACGACCTTTCAACGTCACAATCAGAGACATGACTGATGCACAATGACCGAGTTACTTGGTCTCATTAAAAAGGAATTCTAAGTATAGACGTCCACAATTACTTTGATTGAAATTTTGGTAGTGATTGTTATTGTACAAAATTTTCGTGCTGGCACCCAAATATTGCGCCAATTCTCTGGGCGGTTTCAGATTACCATAACTATCGAAATATAAGGCTTTTTTATCATTTTTTATGTAAGCCACCCAATGAGTGCCCGCATGATTGGAGGTATCCAAATTCAATACAGCACACTCGCGATGCCATGGACCGGTGGAAGGTAGAGTGTCCCGCCTAAAAACACCTCGAAAATACGGTATTTTCAGCTGTTTGGCATACTTTATCACATCTTTATCGTACATTGATTTATTGGGTAGCTTGTCTAGAAGTTTTTTGAGTTTTCTGATTGTTTCTTCAAGTACGGTCCGAATCCTCTCGATGTTTTGCGTAGAAATAGGCCGGAACCCTGCTTGCCGATAGCCTCCATTGCTTTATTATGTCTTTGATCTTCTTCGAGCTTTTTCTTTGCATTTTTTGCATCAATGACTGTCTTTGCGACTGCTCCGGCTCCTCCAGCTAGAGATCCTAGGGCCCCCAAGGCGGCAAAGATTGGTATCAATGGTAGTATACCGCCACTGTGGTTAAGAGGTATGATTCTTGGTACTCTGATTCTTATTTTACCGCCAGCCCTCTTGACTGCCATTCTGGCTGCATGGAGTGCTTTCAATGCAGATTTATTCAGACCACTTCCTGATGTTGTACTACCACCACCACCACCACCACCACCACCATCTGACTTTGATAGTAAATTTTTTTTTGGATTTGATAATGTTGGATAGGGATTGCTGTGATACAAGACCCATGCCAAGTTTTCGTTTGACCTTCATTCCGGTGGTGACAAGCCAAGCAGCAGCCTTTTCTTTGAATTTAGCGTTCTTCGACTTGACTCTCTCCCACGCTCGATTTTCCAATATCCAATCAGCTTTGTGCCTGTCTTCTATTGACGAATTTTGTGAATAGGCGATATCGTGTACTCGACACGCGTCGTCCAACGGATTGATACCGGTGTCTCCTCTTGCAAGTCTTTTATTGAGTTTGGTACCTGGACCACAAAATCTGTAGCCTGGAATGTGTAATTCGATGGGAAGTTTATCGATCAGAGAATTAAGCACACCCTCTCCGTGGTAGAGCAACATGAAGACTGATGTGTAGGAAGTTCGACAACTCTACCTAATGAAATGAAAAATATATCATCACATGATGAAGATCATTCAACAAGAACGGATGTTACCCATGGTGAATTTGGATGAAATTTTGTCAACCAAACCACCAGTAAATAGTAAACATGGGAAACTGCTTCCCCATTCGTTCAGAGCAATCTTCTGCGGACCAAGCGGATGTGGAAAGACCAATGCGATGCTTTCCTTGCTGTTCAATCCAAATGGCGCGAAATTCAAGAACGTTTACGTGTATTCAAAGTCGTTGTACCAACCGAAATATCAATTGCTGCAACAAGTGTTGGATTCAGTGAAAGGTGTTGGGTATTCTCCCTTTAAAGAAAATGATGATGTCATTAGTCCATCAGGAGCGAAAAATCATTCGATATTCATTTTTGATGATGTATCATGCGACAAGCAGCAAAAAATTCGAGAATATTTTTCAATGTGTAAACACAAGGATATTGACGTAGCATACCTATGCCAGACTTTTTCTAAGATACCGAAGCAGCTGGTGCGAGACAACCGTAACCTGTTGGTGTTATTTCGACAGGATGAAATGAATTTGAAGCATGTGTTCGACGAGCATGTCTCACCAGACATGTCATTCGATCAATTTAAAGCATTGTGCTCAGAGTGTTGGAATTCCAACCAATATGGTGCGATGGTGATTGCAAAAACTTTCGATATGAATGCTGGCAGATATAGAAATGGTTTCGATAAGTTCATAAGACTGTGATCTTTGAACCATTCATCAAGATGACGTCAACCAAGATGCATGATGATGTTGCTGATGCGCTGCGCAAGAAAAAAATCAACGAACTATCGAAATCAATCAGAAGGAAATATTTGGCACTAAAATTGGGCAAGTCTGAGGATGATGATGCGTTACAGGAAATATTTCAACCACTGACATCACCTTTGAAACAAATTGCCTCCGCGTCCAAGGTCATAGAAGAAAAACTCGATGGAAAACTTTCAAACATCAAGCGAAGCAGAGCAAAGTCGTTGGGGTTGAAGAAGGAGAAGAAGAAGGAGAAGAAGGAGGAAGAGGATGGGGAGGTGGAGAGGAAGCAATCGGATTTGAATCAAACTAATTTCATACCTATGATGGATGAGGCTGATAATGCTGGGCATACTGAAGATGATGATGAGGATGGTTATGACGATGCTGATGATGAACTTTTTGTAGAGAGTGAAAATATCTCACCGGCTGCAATACATGATTACGTTGATCAGTATCCTGCGATGGCTCAAAAATATCTGACTGAATACTGGACAAATGATGAAAATTTCGATACGGTTCATGGCCCCAAATATGATCCAGTAACATCGAAATGGTCTCCCAACGGAAAAGAAATGAATTTCCATCGAAGAACTGGAGATATACTTCTTGATGGCTTTCGGTTCCGTGGCACCCCAGGCCTCTATCAATTTCTCTTCTATAATGATCCATCCTTTGCCAAAGATGATACGAACCCATACAGACAAATACTCTTGCTCACCAAAGCTCATCTGAATTTTGCAGGACGTATGAAGTCCTCCTCTAGACTCAAATACGTAGAAATTATTCGTCCAATGTTCAGATCCAATTCCAGTGGTCGTGGTTTGAAGTTGACATACAACACAGCACCTATCGAATACATGTATTGGGATGATCCAAACGAATTGGTAGATAGATTGAAGTTGCTCATTGCATCACAGCAAGCCGGAAATACATCAAACGATAACGAGATTGTTGCCATCTTGAACGAATTAAAAGAGGCAGGCATAATAAAACATGTGTGACATTTCTGTGATACTTCCGTGACACTTCCATGACAACTTCCGTGACAGTTCCGTGACACTTCCGTGACAGTTCCGTGACACTTCCTTGACACTTCCGTGACAGTTCCGTGACACTTCCTTGACACTTCCGTGACAGTTCCGTGACACTTCCATGGCATGTCTATGAGTGAAGGGGCTAATAAATGGCGAGGCAAAGTGCCGACCATTATCGATAACGTACAATACATTAGTCATTAGCATAATGAGTCTCGACAGATTCGAACGTGGTTCGTTTCCACGCTCAGCTCAGATGGTGACAGTCAGATCTGGATTTTCACATACTCCAACCGGTGATATTGATGTTGGTCATTTGAAGATGTGTGTTGGTTGACCCAACTGATTTCTATTCCCTTTATGGTTTTTTAATAAAACTATATACATTTCCCATGTTTTTGTATTTATATTCAAGGAATACAATTTGGTATGAAAAACCTGTCACATATATGTCAGTTCTATCTATTTATTAAACAAAATTCTAAAACAAGAGATATATGTTACTATACCTAATGGCACCTTTCTAGAAACCGTGGACTGTATATACCATATGATAAAATTGATATGCCAATGGAGTGATGTTGAAACTGATTGTCCGA